CTGCTAACTAGCTTGATATCTGCTAACTAGCCTCCTCAGTTATTCCTTCTGTCTGCACCGGAAAAGCTTCCACTGATTGAACGGCTATTTTCTGACAGTGTTTCAGTCTTGTTCCTCTGAGAGACCTTCATCTTGTGTAAAAATGAGGCATCCTGTGTTGCATGTGGGCGTCCGGGTCCTCAGGGCCCCCCCCTTGGCACCCGGCTTTGCCTGTGCATCTCGTTGAGCTGGACGTCACTGTTGGAGGCGTCGGATATCCCGCTGTCTGCAAACACGGAGCCTGGGGGGGGCGAGCAGGAGGACAGGTCAGTGGGCCCCAAACACCCCAAAAACGGGGCTCAGAGGCTGGGGGACGTACAGCTGCTGTTGGTCAGGCTGCTGCTGACGGAGGACCAGGAGGGGGGGTACGGGTTGGAGCCCGTCGTGTTGCCCAGCGACAGGTTTCTCTTGGCTTTGCTCGCCGTCACACTCAACTCTGCAAATAGATAATTTCTTAGGATTCTAGTTGGCTGAAAATTGCTTGAAAATTCATAGAAACAGGTGTTATCCTCAACAACAACAACAAAAAATTGACTTCCTTACAAATGATTCAACGCAGTAGAAAAAATGACATTTCAGTGTTTTTTCTAAGCTTCCAAAATTATATCAAGTTGGGTTTCATATTTTTTTTTGCTGTTAGGCTAACTTGTTGTCTGAGTTTTCTCTTCCCACTGTCACCAGGTGCCTTATCATGGGGAACTGTGATCTTTGCTAGACATCATCACCGTTTTCATTCGGATATTTTTCAGTTCTTGTCGGAAGACAATTGATTCATTCATAGATGTCAGTTTTGACATTTCTTTTCAATAATTTGGATGATTGAGGACACTAGTGTCAATTCAAAATGAGTGGAAGCTGTTCATGTTTTTCGCATGACAAATAAATAGTGACAAAAATGTGCTCCAAAAGCAGGATTTGAGGCATCAGCAGTTACCCAACTGATCACAGTCCAACTCCCACTAGTCCAAGCACCACTACGCACCCACTGACCAAACAAAAAGAAATGTTTGATGGGAATTAACACATTTCTTCGTTACCCACCGGAGTTCTCGGCCAGTTTTCCACAACAGAAGTAGATCCTCCACTGCCTGCGGACGCTTTCCTTTATCGCACAGTGGAGAACGAAGACAAAAAAACCTACACGGGGGCATTAAAAAACAGTGCCTTTAACCATTCGGTGACTGTGTTTTGTTCTGTTGAATTTTAAGGCTGGGCTAGTTCTCACCTTGCAGAGAGTTGAAGATGGAGAAAAGGTAAATGAAGGGTACGTACAGGGGCCCCCAGGCAAAAAGAGCGAACCCCCAGGTGAGGCCGAGCAGGATGACCAGCCCGGTGGCGCTGCGGAGGTCGGTCATCACGCCCCGGTTGGGGGATTGGTTCTGGGGGTTCTGCTTCTTAATCCGATACAGCTGGACCATGACAACGATGAAGACCACCAGGCACAGAACGAAGATCACGAGGAAGTAGGCGACCACCCCCAGGTAGAAGGCGATGTCATTACGCAGCCAGCAGCTGTGAAGAGGAGGTACAAAAAGGTACAGAGAAGCTAAAAACGTGGGCCCAAGTGGCTGGACAGCCCCATTTAGAGTCCACTCTTTCCATGCATGGAGGAAATGTCTTGACCTGCCATTAAAGCAAGAGAAGGCCAGCAAACCTGCACTGTTTAGGACAATAGATGTATTTGCCTAGGACTTCAGATATGTGGCTCTTAAGGATACTTTCTGGTTATCTGACTGAGACCTGCTCAGATTTGACACTTTTCGGTGCAAAGGTTTTGTGTCCGGATAGCTTACAAGTCCGATGTGTTGTCACTTGAATATTGTCCGTATTCCACCAGACCGTAGTTGTCCTTGTCCACAGAGATCACGATAATAACCACAACTAGAGGGAAGCCTGTTGAGAAAGACAAATGTTATTGTTGTTGTTTTTTTAAAGGAGACATATTATACCCTATTTCAACGAGTTAAACTAGCTCCCTAGTGTCCTAATGTAATGTCTGTGACAAGCTTTGGTCAAAATCCCATAAGGATGAAGCCCAATAGCAGTTCAGTCCCCCTGCCTAACCCTAACCCTAACCCTAACCCTAACCCTAACCCAAAACAGCCCCGTTCAGAGCGCTCGCTTTGGAGTGCCTGTCTCTTTAAATGCAAATGAGACACAGGCAATCCACCCACTTCTTCTGGGAGGTGTGCCCACGTCGGCACGCTAACGCTACCATGCTAACGCTACCATGCTAACGCTCACGCTACCAGGACGTCTGCCACAGATAGGGGAGTAAGCTGAGGGGGGGGGGCAACATACAGGTGAAAGGCTGGAATATTATAATGAGCTAGAGCTAATGACGTCAGAAACTACCCACTCCTGAAACCTCCTGATTTATCTCCTGGATTCAGACTGAGGCGGCCCACAAAAACATGATTGAGTCTTTTTTTTTTCACACTTTGCCTGCTGATAGGCCCTCCACAGTCCCAAATGTACATAATCAAATGATTAAAAACTTGGTTTTGCATAGTATGTCCCCTTTAAAGGGAAAAAAATCCACTTTTGGATGGTCCTGAAGGCTCGGTCTTACCCCAGCCCATCAGGGTGAACCTCAGCATGTATCTGCTCAGGTAGGGGGTGAACACTCGGATGATGCTCAGGTACATGTGCAGGGCCTCCAGCCCGGCCCAGGTGAAGGACGCCAGCAGGAAGTAGTGCAGGAAGAAGCCAGTGCTGATGCACAGGCCGACTGAGTCGAACAGAGTTAGCCAGCTGTTCAGTAAGAACACCAGGTTGAGGAGCAGGAGGGAAATGCAGAGCTGGACCAGGATCTTGGCGGGAATATCCCGGAGCAGTTTTCTGCAAAGACAACCCGACTGATCTGACTCTTTTTTAAATCGTAACCTTTCCTGATTTAATCCATTAACCAGGATTAAGCCATTCGGATTGGGGAAAACAGTTGAAATTCTTACTCGAATAAGAAATACGTCAACAAGGTGAAAGCTAAAAAAACAGATGAGATTCCACATCCGATGTAGGTGATGTAGGTGAGGATTTGGTTGTTTACGGGGTCCAATTGTCCCTCCCTGGACAAATCCTGAGTGACGAGTGGGGAAAATAAACAATGAGAACAACATTAGATGACTTTGGTTGATGGTCCCTTTTGGAAATGTTCAAATCTTCTCACAAATGGTGATAATCTTGATTCTAAATGATGGCTCTGCATGGCGTGAACACTGACCAGGAGAATAGAAAAGGATGTGAGGTGGCTGCAGCTGCACGTCGTATAATCAGGAGTAGCATTGACAACCGTGCAGCCGTCGGACCCCCATCCTCCTTCACCACCTAGGTGACAGAAATAAGACAAGGCTGAAGTTCACCAGGGCCCAGCTTGGCTCCTGGTTAAATAATGGTGTGCATACTCACCATTCAGAGAAAAGTTCCAGTAAACACAAGACGTGTTGCTGTTGTTGGTCTATGATGGAAAAATTAGAGACGAAAGAGAAGCCCATTTCTGTTACTTTTACTCAAATTTAGGCTTATTGTGAGCTCACATTGCCTGGAGCTTAATATTAAAAGTAAGAATCTTTTTGGAAATAAACACTCACTTGCACAGGGTCGATGTGTCTGATGGTGAACTTAATGTTTTCCCTCAGGTTGCGGATTGACAGGTTGGCCACACTGGAGCCCAGAACTGGACTGATAAGTGTTTGGCTAACTAATGATTTATCCTTCGAAAACAAGAAAAATCAACCCTCAGTGTTTAGAGTTTAAATGAAAAATATGTCAAAACCACTTACCTCTGAAAAATGACCTGATCGGAAATAAAAGAGAGCAAAAAAATTCAGCTGTTTTACCCTAAAAGCAGAATTGTGGACATACTTGGAATAAGGAGCTCTTTTTGTAAAAGGTGAACTGCACTCTGTTGGCCTGCTGCTGCTCTTCAGGGCTCAGGCCTGAAGTGAGCGAGGTAGGCAAGTACACAGATCCCAGAGGTCCTGACCTCTCGGACCTTCTCCTCCTAAGAGCTCGGAGCTGGAAACAAAAAAAGGGAAGAAATTAATCAGTGGAAATTAGCTCAACTGTTTCCGCTGGTTGAAGCTGCGCCATCACATTTTATCATACATTTATGGAAAGATTTGAAAAAAGTTCTTTAAAAAACACTGACAATATAAAGGATTTTTCATTGATGAAAATCCACCATGTCAGTTTTCTACCAGATCTAAAAGATGTAGGATAGTGAATAAGGATTTCTGAAAATGCATAGGCTCGTTCCATTATTTCAGTACCAACATTGGCCATAAATACTCAGTAATCAGTCAGTGTCCAGTCAGATGTCTTCTAACCTGTTTGGTAAAAAAATGCCTTCCTTACAAATAATGATTCAACGCAGTAGAAAAAATGACATTTCAGTGATTTTTCTTGTTACAAAATTATATCAAGTTGGGTTTCCTATGTTTTTTTGCTGTTAGGCTAACTTGTTGTCTGAGTTTTGTCTTCCCACTGTCACCAGGTGCTTTATCGTAGGGAACTGAGATCTTTGCTAGACATCTTGGAATGGTTTCCTGAGTTGTAAATAAAACTGAACTGAACTTATTCAAGTTTAAAAACAAGAACATTTAACCTGTTTAATAGCTCTGGCAGAAGGTGTCATCTCTCTAAAATCCATCCATCTCTCTAAAAAAGGAATGTCTTTTTTTTTTTTTTATAAACAGTGGGAACATGGTGTCGTGCAGATTTTTACCCATGGGTTACCTGGACATTGTCAGTATTGAAAATGTCTGCAGATGTTGCTGGAAAGTTGGTGCCATCTACAGTCCTGACTGCCAGAACCAGGGAAGCAGAGGATATGATGCCTTTGCCTCCTTCTGTGACAATCAGCTTAAGACCCAGGTCATCCACCAAGTGAATCAGCCTGTCAGCAGGAAGTACAACATCCCATCATGGAAATGAATCATAAATCACATTGCTTAATTGAGGTTCATGCTCGCTTTAGGGGCGTGTGAGCAAACCTGTTGGCAGATCCAGAAAGAGTATTTGATCCAACATCCATTAGGTTGCTGATGACACCGATGGCTTTTTGTCCCACAGACGGAGATACAGAGGGGGCATCCAGAAGTTTTTCCAGGTTCCCAACCAGCTTAGAAACCTGAAACAGCCACCAAATTATAGACCAATCCAGTGAAAGTATTGTTAAGTTGTTTATTTGTGTAGCTTCACCTCAGACGCAGTGATATTTGACGTGTCCTGGGTTTCGTTGAGCAGATCATCAACTTGTTCCTCCTTTGCTTCTTCACTTGTGGTCGTCGTTATGGTGGTTGTGGGGGTTGTTTTGACACCTTTGTGAGATGCACATCCAATTAAAATGTTATTTGCTTCAGTGTGTGTCTCTTTGTATTACTCTTTGTATTACTCTTTGTGTGTATTTGTATTACCAACACCCCCCCTTTACCGACCTGTCTTTGCAGTGGTCGTAGTGGGTTTTGTGGTGAGGACTGTGATCTTGGTGGTTGTCATGGAAGCTGATGAAAGCTGACTGATTGTGCTTTCCTTGGCTGAAGAAATTGTTGTTGTTGCCGTTGTAGCTGCAGATGTAGCAGCTTTACTGGTTGTAGTTGAGTAGGCCCCCAGTATTTTGGTTGTTCGGATACTGCCTGTGGCTGCAGTGGGGCTTGTGGTGTTGTTAACTTTGTTGTTGCTAGTTGTAGTAGTACTGTTCACAAAATTGGAGTTGGGGATGGGTGTTGCAGTTCTGTTTGCTATTGTGTAGTTGTTGCTACGTGTTGTAATGTTCAGGGTTGTGTCGTTGGTGCTGGACGTTGTACTCCTTGCTGTTGCGTAATTGTTGCTAGGTGTGG